TGGTAGCTCAAGCATTAGATTCGAGTCTAGCACTTTGGGTGGCCTAGGCAGGAGGATGCCTTGAAGCCAAGAGTTTGAGACCAGCCCAGGCAACATAGCAAGGCCTTGTCTCTACCAAAAATTTCAAAAATAGCTGGGTGTAATGGGTGGTGTCTGCTTCTAGTCCTGGCTACTCTGGAGGCTAAGGTAGAAGGATGGCTTGAACTTCAGTGAGCTATGATTGTGCCACTCACTCCAGCCTGGGCAACAGTGTGAGACCCTCACGGGCATTTTTTTAAAGATGTTACTTTAACTTATTTTATTTAAACTGAAGAGTATAAAAAAAATTTTTTTTTAATCTTTCTTGATTCTAAGACCCCAGATTAGCCTCTGTTAACTTTGTGTGTTGGTGTGTAGGGGGGTTAGTAAGCAAACTGTATTTGAAGAATAATGAGAAGAATAAAAGCTGCTCACCTGTTTCTCTGTCTCCAAAAACACCACCATTAACATCTGATGTGTCTAGAAAAAAGATAGCGGGCCGGGTGTGGTAGCTCACGCCTGTAATCCCAGCACTTTGGGAGGCCAAGGCGGGTGTATCACCTGAGGTCAGGAGTTCGAGACCAGCCTGGCCAACATGATGAAACCCCGTCTCTACTAAAAATACAAAAAATTAGCCAGGCGTGGTGGCGCATGCCTGTAATCCCAGCTACTCGGGAGGCTGAGGCAGGAGATGAATCGCTTGAACTCAGGAGGCGGAGGTTACAGTGAGTCAGCACTGCGCCACCGCACTGTAGCCTGAGCAACAAGAATGAAATTCCATCTCAGAAAAAAAAAAAAAAAAAAAAGGTTGGCTTGCTCTGGCATTGGTGTTTGTCCTTTTTGTTCACACAAAAGCATCATGCTTTGTATTCTTGTTCCATTTTTGTTTCGTTCACTGTCTTCATGGTAGAGATGAACTAAGAGCCACTGGGAAGGCTGTTAGTTTATGTGAATCAGAAGGTTGCTTCCCTTAAGTTCTCTCTTCCTGGCACCTGGTGCTCTTGCAGCCCATGGGGAATGTGGTGGCTACGCTTTCTCATCTCTCCTGCCTTATCCCATCAGCCATTCGCTGTGCCTGAACTGCTGCACAGGGTGTCCGTGGGGCATGTCCACATTACAAAAAGATGGTACTGATCATTGAGTTTATCTCCAAAATTTTTTTTTTAAATTTGATTTTAGAAAATACATTTTTAGGCTGGGCATGGTGACTCATACCTATAACCCCAGCATTTGGGAGGCCGAGGCGGGCAGATCGCCTGAGGTCAGGAGTTCCTTACCAGCCTGGCCAACGTGGTGAAACCCCGGCTCTACTAAAAATACAAAAATTAGGCGAGCGTGGTAGCATGCACCCGTAATTCCAGCTACTAGGGAGGCTGAGGCAAAATAATCACTTGAACCTGGGAGGCAGAGGTTGCAGTGGGCCGAGATTGCGTCATTTGCTGCACTCCAGCCTGGGTGATAAGAGCGAAACTCCGTCTCAAAAAAGAAAAGAAAATATATATCTTTATCCTGGAGACTAGAGAATGTAATTTAAAAGAAAAATTGAAATGCCTGACAATAGATTTCTCTTATCACTTCTGTATGTGGATTGAAGAGGATCTTACCAGGAAATTTATTTTTATTGCTAACAAAAATAGAGTGTGTGTGTGTGTGTGTGTGCGCGCGTGCGTGCGTGTGTGTGTACAGCGTTTTGCCATATTGCCCAGGCTGGTCGCAAACTGCTGAGTTCAAGCAGTCCTCCCGACTTGACCTGCTAAAGTCTTGGGATTACAGGTCACCATGCCCAGCCAGGAATACACTTTTTTTAAAAAATTGACAAACATAGGTTTTGAGTCTCTTAATTGAAACTCAAATGTCGGCACAGGAGAGAGTATAATAATTTCTGCTATTAACTATGAAAAAGAAGTCCATCTGGTTGTGTTCTCTTTTCATGGGACTAAAGATTAAAGTTAGCAAGTTTTGGTGTTACTGCTGAAATTTTGTGAGGTCACAAAGTTATATTGAGTTCATTTTAAAGATACTTAGATTTTTGGTAAATTTGTTTCTCTAGTCTCAAGACATATAGCTGGGTGATGGTTGTGTACATATTCTTGTACAATACGTGAAAAGAACATCTAATTAAAAGCAGTATATAAGATTTCAGGAGTTATCCCACCTAATGATGGAATTTGGGCCTTTAAACCCCCACCCACCACCCTCCAGCCACAAGGAACATCTCTTTTTTTTTTTTTGCGACAGAGTTTCGTTGTTGTTGCCCAGGCTGGAGTGCAATGGCGAGATCTCGGCTTACTGCAACCTCCACCTCCCAGGTTCAAGCGATTCTCCTGCCTCAGCATCTCGGGTAGCTGGGATTACAGGAATGCACCACCACACCCGGCTAATTTTTGTATTTTTAGTAGAGATGGGGTTTCGCCACGTTAACCATGCTGGTCTCAAACTCCTGACCTCAGATGATCCACCCTCCTCAGCCTCCCAAAGTGCTGGGATTACAGGCGTGAGCTACCGCCCCCAGCCGGAACATCATTTTTGAGGCATCTCAGAACATGCTTTTCTGTTTCCCCAGATCCCAGGAGTTTGTTGTTGTTATTTTTTTTTTTATTTTTTTTATTTTTTTTAAATTTTAATTTAAATTTTTATTTTTTTTTTTGAGACGGAGTCTTGCTCTGTCACCCAGGCTGGAGTGCAGTGGCCGGATCTTAGCTCACTGCAAGCTCCGCCTCCCGGGTTTACGCCGTTCTCCTGCCTCAGCCTCCCGAGTAGCTGGGACTACAGGCGCCCGCCACCTCGCCCGGCTAGTTTTTTTTTGTATTTTTCAGTAGAGACGGGGTTTCACCGTGTTAGCCGGGATCGTCTCTCGATCTCCTGGCCTCGTGATCCGCCCGTCTCGGCCTCCCAAAGTGCTGGGATTACAGGCTTGAGCCACCGCGCCCGGCCGAGTTTGTTGTTTTTAGTCCCATATATAAAAATTAGCTTTTTAGTGTTTAAATTAGGATCAGAAACTGTGCGTTAACTAAAGCAGTTTAATTCAGGGTACTTCATAACGTTAACTTGTTTTCTTCATGTTGATTTTGGAAGGAATTCTGTAAAATTGTGTACATAATATAACATGATCATGTGTGAAATACAAGTGAGTAGTGTCAGGGCATGCAGAAAGAATACAAGGCAGAAGGCATCCAAACAGAATCCATTTGAGACGCTACTCATATTGTCCTGGCACTCTTACTGTTCCACACATTAACATTCATAAGTTGTAGTCCTTAGAATTTATATGTGAAAACCAGGGAGAGAATTAACCAGTCTTATCCCTTAAGAATAAACTGCCCTTGAGGTGTGACCTTGTCCATACCTAATTCCAGTGATGCTCCATGTGTGCAGGGAAGACTAAGGTATTTTCCCTTAGTGAAGTTTTCCTCGTGATTAAAACATCAGTTTAAAATAATGCCTTTAGAAACACCTGTTTGGTCAGAAATCTTTCTGACACTGTGTTGCTGTGCACCCTGCCTCCCCAGAGAGCGGTGGCAGCAGGACGCCTGGTCTGCATGCTCATGTCATGGCGCTTGCCTTGCAGGCCTTTCTTGTTCGTGGATTATAGACATCAAGTATCTATACCGTAGGTCATTCGAATTCCTTTATGCACACTAGGAAAGTTTAAACTGGTAACTGTGACGGCTGAACTTCTTAGGTCATCGGATAATTTCCCACAGGTGGGTTTTAATCTCAAGAAAATAACTGCTGTCAATTAAATTTTGATGTATATTATATTAACCTTTTGACTTTTACACAAAAGTTATAATGGTAAAATTGATCCTCTGTGTAATTTATGTAGGAAATTGAAGTGCTTGCATAAGCAGTACTTGCATATGAGAGCTAATTGTAAGGGATTAAAGACATTAGCAACTGTATCCTCAGCTTTGTTATACTTCAGTCATACTTAACGATTAACAGCCAAGATCTACCATCCTGGCTGACACGGTGAAACCCCGTCTCTACTAAAAAATACAGAAAACTAGCCAGGCGAGGTGGCGGGCGCCTGTAGTCCCAGCTGCTCGGGAGGCTGAGGCAGGAGAATGGCGTGAACCCGGGAGGCGGAGCTTGCAGTGAGCTGAGATCCGGCCACTGCACTCCAGCCTGGGCAGCAGAGCGAGACTCCGTCTCAAAAAAAAAAAAAAAAACAGCCAAGATCTTGGTCAGAAACACAGCCTCCATTTATGACATTCTCTTGGGAAAATAAGTCTGTTGTTTAACAAGGTGAGTTAGTTTTTACTCTGATTTCAGGAATATTGTCTAACATGACTAGGGCGAACAGGCAGGGTGGCTTGCACTGAGCCTGATTTAGCCTGTACCTGTAAGGATTAAGGTGTTGTTTCTGAGCCTCCTGGGACCCCACGGCTCACCTGGATGGGAGAGTGGGTTGTCCCTGAGCTAAAAAGCTGCTGGACGCCACCCTGTGTGCTCTTAGGTTTGCCATGCGAGCATCCTGACAGCTTTTGACCAGTAGCGGTTCATGATTACTGAGATGAGGTGGCTTTGAGATTCTTGGTTGCCAGGTTGCCACTGACCCCCATTCCATGAAGTAACTTCCTCTAGGTCTTCATGTGATAGCTATCCTAAATGTCAGGTTTTATTTTTTTTATTTTGAGATGGAGTCTCGCTCTGTCACCCAGACCGGAATGCAGTGGTGTGATCTTGGCTCACTGCAACCTCTGCCTCCCATGTTCAAACGATTCTTCTACCTCTGCCTCCCAAGTGCACCACCACACCCAGCTAATTTTTGTATTTTTAGTGGAGACGGGGTTTCACCGTGCTAGCCAGGATGGTCTCGAACTCCTGACCTCATGAACTGCCCGCCTCAGCCTCTCAAAGTGCTGGGATTATAGGCTTGAGCCACCGTGCCCACCTTAAACTTTCAATTTACTTTTCTAACCTGCTTCCTTAAATTATTCAACAGTTGTTTATTGTTTGTGCTTGTCTTTCTGTTTCAGATCTCACATTCTTGGAGGTGGCATCGAAGAGCACTAAGATCAGAAGATGAGTGAGCTTGACCAGTTACGGCAGGAGGCCGAGCAACTTAAGAACCAGATTCGAGTATGTAGTTGTGTGTGCTTGGTTTTATTAATCGTTTGAGTTTTAGGTTAGCTGTTACTTGTTTTAGGAAAAATGATTTACAGGATGACTTGTTCTGTGTTTTATATTGAAATTGAATCTTAGTTGGCCCGGGATGTACTAATTATAGATCTAGATACTTGGCCTAGTACATTGTTTTCCAGATTTTGCTTTCTGTATACAATTTGTTGTTTGAATATACACCAGATGTCTCTATAGAATTTATAAGTGTCTTTTGCATTTTTTATCATAACCTTGAAAATTTGTTATACTCTGGGCCACTGATCAGACTGTGGTATCTGCCTCCCTCTCCTGAATATTGGGACTATTGACAGCAGAAATCTTGCTTAAAAATAAGAGTATTAACAACAATAAAAAAAAAGTATTTCAGATATATCTGATGTATTTTTTTCCTAATTTTGAAAGCACATCTTCCCTAGCAGTGATGATTGGAATCTACAGCTTCTGATAGACTACTAGATGGAGCAGATATATCTAAATCCAAGATAGCGGCTGGGTACAGGGGCTCACGCCTGGAATCCCAGTGGTTTGGGAGCCTTAGGCGGGCAGATCACTTGAGGTCGGGAGTTTGAGACCAGCCGGGACAACATAGTGAAACCCCATCTCTACAAGAAATATAAACATTAGCCGGGTGTGGCGGTGTGGCCTGTGGTCCCAGCTCCTCGGGAGGACATTAGCTGGGCGTGGCGGTGTGGCCTGTGGTCCCAGCTACTCGGGAGGCCGAGGTCAGAGAACCACTTGAACCCGGGAGGCGGAGGTGCCAGGGAGTCGATGGCGCCACTGCACTCCAGCCTGGGCGACAGAGCAAGACCCTGAAAAATAACAAAAATTGAAGATAAAAACAACCGTGTGTAAATAAACTGCACTGTGAAAAGAATACCTTTCACAGAATTCTGAAACATTAAATTTCAGTCTGTGATTGATACAGGATGTTAAGTTGCAGAGTTCATAAACTTTTTTTTGAGAGAGTTTTGCTCTGTTGTGCCCAGGCTGGAGTGCAGTGGCGCTATCTCTTCTCACTGCAACCTCTGCCTCCTGGGTTCAAACAATTCTCTTGCCTCATAACTTTCTGAAAAGTGAGGAACAGTAGGTCTAAATGGAATTCCTTCTGCTCCTACTGTTGTGAAGCAGTACTTCTAGTAAATATTTTATAGAGAAACAATTAATGCAAGTATATATTTCCTTTCTGAAACCGCTGATGTGAAGAGTAAGAGAAAAAGAGGCAGACTTCTCAGGAAAAACCAGGTCTTCAGTATGTTTTTAGGTTTTGTCCATTTGATGTAAGAGCTTTCTCTTATTCTTTTTATTTATTTATTTATTTATTTTTTGAGACAGAGTTTCGCTCTGTCGCCCAGGCTGGAGTGCAGTGGCGTGATCTCAACTCACTGCAAACTCCGCCTCCCGGGTTCACGCCATTCTCCTGCCTTGGCCTCCTGAGGAGCTGGGACTATAGGCGCCCGCCACCACACCTGGCTAATTTTTTGTACTTTTAGTAGAGATGTGGTTTCACCACATTAGCCAGGATGGTCTCGATCTCCTGATCTTGCGATCCGCCTGCCTCAGCCTCCCAAAGTGCTGGGATTACAGGCGTGAGCCACCATGCATGGCCTAGAAATCAGAATTTTAAAGTTTATCCTGAAAATGTCTTAAATAGTAGTGTGATTTGGCCTATTTGAAGATATTTCATTTTTCTGACAGCAGTAAGTTGTTCACAAATAGTGGACTTGGATCTATTCATAGCAGATGGAAAGAGCTTGTATGGCACAGGTGCAAGACACCCAAATTTTAAAAATTAAGGCCAAAAGGAGCTGTTGCACCTCCTCCCGAGGTTTGGGCCCTGTCACATTGTGAATTCCCCAAGGCCTTCTTGCACAGGGGGCTCCCTCTTGGGCTGGCACGAATGTCACGTGACATTCCCCACATGCTCTTGTTGCCACATAAAAAATGTAAAAAGAGGCCGGGCACGGTGGCTCACGCCTGTAATCCCAGCACTTTGGGAGGTTGAGGCAGGTAGATCACGAGGTCAAGAGATCAAGACCATCCTGGCTAACACAGTGAAACCCCGTCTCTACTAAAAGAAAAATTAGCCAGGCGTGGTGGTGGTGGGCGCCTGTAGTCCCAACTACTTGGGAGGCTGAGGCAGGGAATGGCGTGAACCCGGGAAGCGGAGCTTGCAGTGAGCCAAGATTGTGCCACTGCACACTGCAGTCTGGGAGACAGAGCAAGAAAAAAAAAAAAAGTAAAAGGAGATATGGCCATGCACCGTGGCTCATGCCTTTAATTCCAGTACTTTGGGAGGCCAAGACAAGAGGATTGCATGAGCCCAAAAGTTTGAGACGATCCTGTGTAAGGTAGGAAGACCCTGTCTCTTTAAAAAGAATAAAAAGAAAGGAAACAGAAACAGGTGGAATTAACCCTAACAAGGTTTTTTTGGTTTTTTGTTTGTGTGTTTTGAGACAGGGTCTCTGTCAGTCATCCAAGCTGGAGAGCAGTGGTGCGATTACAGCTCACTGCAGTCTCCCGAGTAGCTGGGACTACAGGAGCATGCTGCCACACCTGGCTGATTTTTTTTATTTTTGTAGAGACAGAGTCCACCATATTGCCCAGGCTGGTCTTGAACTCCTGGGCTCAAGGGATCTTCCTGCCTCGGCGTCCCAAAGTGCTGGCAGGTGTGAACCACCACGCCTGACCCAACAAATTTTATCTAAGGCAATATATCTAAAATATTATTATTCAATATGTAATTAATACATTTTAATTGAAATATTTGACAGAGTTTTTCTCCCAATTTTTCTGGTTCCATTTCCTGTGCTCAGCAGCCACATGCAGCTCATGGCCCCCGTAGCGGGACATTCACTAGAAGAGGTGCCTAGCTGCTTTGTCTCTGAAGTGCCAGGAACCAGGAACCACGCTATGTTAGTTCCTTTGCACAAGACAGGGACAGCAACAGCTGGTGAAGTCGTTTTACCCCAAATGGTAAAGGAAGACTTATTTTTAAAATGTAGAACATTTTTTCCTGATTGCCCAAAGAATACACGCTTGTTGAAGAATGCAGAGCATAGTGAATCAAACAAGAAATTGTGGATGATTTTAAAAGGGGTTGTTTTCTTTCTTAGATTCGTTTTTCAGCCAAGAGACCCTTAAAGGATCTTGCATGCTCCTTTTGATTATTATTGAGGAATCACAGGCTCTCAAAGGGATGCTGAGTAAAACATGATGTGCCTTAAAATACACAGAGTAGCTGATGGAGTAAGAAAAGCTCCGCAGGATGCACAGGTGTAGGTGTGTTCTGGGGCGGCATGCCGGCCAGTGCGAGGGAGCAGGGTCCATTCACGTGAGACGCAGCTGCACTGGATGCCTGGTCCAAAACATTCAGTGACTCCACGCTGAGCAGGGCCCAGGCTTTAATTTAGGATGAAACCCCAAAGTAAGTGTGTTACTGTGTCATTTGACATAAATCCAAAAAGGATGAGAAATCAACTGATAAATGGCTTGGATATGTTCATCTCTGGTTTAAGTGGACATCATAATATGTATCTGCAGGAGTCCATTAAACTGGAAATTAATCTGAAAGAACTTGAAGATTTTATTCTTTGTTAAGCAGTTACAGAGCTTGTTTCCATTGAAAGACTTCTTCCTACAGTTTTAAAAGTTGAAGGTGTCTGTTCTCCAGAGTGCTGCATTCAGTTACATAAGCTGGTTATTGGCTAAAATAAAGACTGAATTGAAGTTATCTGTATTTTGTTTTTACAGTAGTTTTTCCTTCTGTTTAACAGTAGCATCACCACAGTCTGTTACACTGTACCTTAAGAAACTCATTTTAGTCTTTGAACACTAACCAGGGGGAGGTTGCTTAAATCTCATGTTTTATTTTCTCTGTTTTAAATTTTCTTATGATGTTTTAAAATCAAAGGCTATAACATCAACAAGAATGGTATTCAAAAACAAATATTAAACTCGGTACTTGCCAGGTAACATTCATTGACAAAAAGGCTTTTGCTGCTCTAAGTATTTTTCATCCCCCTTACTCCAAATGTTACTGCTTGCATAGAAATACTCGATTTTTTGTGTGTCTTAATTATAAGCAGAATAACCAATAAGAGCTTAACTAAAGATGAATTTGGAATGTATAAATTTGTATATTTATAATAATCTCAATGTATTTCCTTTTTTTTTTTGAAACAGCGTCTGGCTGTGTCACCCGGGCTGGAGTACAATGGTGTGATCTCAGCTCACTGCAACCTCCACCTCCCGGGTTCAAGTGATTCTCCTGCCTCAGCCTCCCCGAATAGCTACGATTACAGGTGCCAGCCACCATGCCTGGTTAATTTTTGTATTTTTAGTAGGGATGGGGTTTCACCATGTTGGCCAGGCTTGAACTCCTGACCTCAGGTGATCCATCCACCTTGGCCCCCTAAAGTGTTGGGAATACAGGCATAAGCCACTGCGCCTGACCAATATATTTCCATATTATCAGTTTATAAATATTCCCACAAGCTTCCTAAAGTAGAAATCATTTGCAGTGAGCAGTTTGCCCCAAAAACCTGAACCACTGGGAACTCGTCCTCCACCTCCCCCGTGTGGGGCACTTGGATGCACACCTGTAAGGGCTGCACATGCCATTTGCCATTTTGAAAGTAGGTGGTCAGATGACAGCATATAAACACATTTTTCTTACTAAAAAGTGTCAGCTGGGCGTGGTAGCTCTCGCCTATAATCCCAGCACTTTGGGAGGCCAAGGGGGAAGGATCGTTTGAGCCCAGGAGTTCAAGAACAGCCACAGGCAACATGGCAAGATCCCCATCTCTACAAAAATAAGGCCGGGCGCGGTGGCTCAAGCCTGTAATCCCAGCACTTTGGGAGGCCGAGACGGGTGGATCACGGTCAGGAGATTGAGACCATCCTGGCTAACACGGTGAAACCCCGTCTCTACTAAAAAATACAAAAAACTAGCCGGGCGAGGTAGTGGGTGCCTGTAGTCCCAGCTACTTGGGAGGCTGAGGCAGGAGAATGACGTAAACTTGGGAGGCGGAGCTTGCAGTGAGCTGAGATCCAGCCACTGCACCCCAGCCTGGGCGACAGAGCGAGACTCCGTCTCAAAAAAAAAAAAAAAAAACTAAATAAATAAATAAAAATTAGCCGGCCATAGGGATGCATGCTTGTAGTCCCAGCTATTCAGGAGGCTGAGGTGGGAGGGTCACCTGAGCCCAGGAGGTCGAGGCTGCAGTGAGCTGTGATGGCATCACTGCACTCCAGGCTGGGCAACAAAGCCAGATCCTGTCATAAAAATAAATAAATACATAGTTTAAAAAAAAAAAAAAAAAAAGGCCGGGCAGGGTGGCTCACGCCTGTAATGCCAGCACTTTGGGAGGCCAGGGTGAGCAGATCACCTGAGGTCAGGAGTTCTAAACCAGCCTGGCCAACATGGTGAAACCTCATCTCTACTAAAAATACAAAATTAGCTGGGTGTGGTGGCACATGCCTGTGGTCCCAGCTACTCAAGAGGCTGAGACAGGAGAATCACTTGAACCTGGGAGGTGGAGGCTGCGGTGAGCTGAGATCGCAACACTACACTCCAGCCTGGGCAAGACAGAGCAAGACTCTGTCTCAAAAAAAAAAAAAAAGAAAAGAAATTATTGTGATTTAAAAAAAAAGTATACCCACACTCAAATTTTAAACCTTTTTTAGTTAAAGCCATTGTCTTGTTTTCCTTTATGATATCTTCCTGTTATAAACATACGTTCTCTTTTGAGATTTCCAGGTCTGTTTTCTAGTAACGTTGATCCCTTAGTAATGAAGACATTTGAGTGAGCATTGGTGGGTCCCTTCACAGTGCTTACTGCTTCCACAGGCCATGGATAGAGGAGAAACGAGAGCAGCCAGAGAGGCTCATGTACATCTGGTTGTCTGGCTTCAGGTCCCTTGCTCTTTTTCCATAGAATTTATTTATTTTTCTTCGTTTTCCTTTATTTATTTGTTTATTTATTATTGTTATTATTTTTTTTTTGAGATGGAGTCTTGCTCTATTGCCCAGACTGGAGTGCTGTGGTGGGGTCTCGGCTCCCTGCAACCTCCGCCTCCTGGGTTCAAGCGATTCTTCTGCCTCAGCCTCTTGAGTAGCTGGGATTACAGGCATGCGCCACCATACCCGGCTAATTTTTGTATTTTTAGAAGAGACGGGGTTTCACCATGTTGGCCAGGCTGGTCTCGGACTCCTGACCTCAGGTGATCCACCCACCTCGGCCTCCCAAAGTGCTGGGATTATAAGTGTGAGTCATCGCGTCCAGCCTGTTTTCCTTAAATGTTTAAATGTTATTTTTAGTAGAGACAAGGTCTCACTTTGTTGCCCAGGCTAGTCTTGAACTCCTGGGCTCAAGCCATCCTCCTGCCTCAGCTTCCTAAAGTGCTGGGATTACAGACGTGAGACCGCGCCCTCCATAGAATTTAGAATTAATGATTGTTTCTCTTGAAAACAAAGTACTTAGTTAATGCGATCTGAAGAAAAGGTTTTTGGGCTGGATATCTGGTCCTTTTTATACTTTTTCTTTGGGCCACAACCTTCCTGACCCTGGATGGGCTTTGTAAAAAGAGCAAGACGTGTGTGCCAACCTGTGCAGCACTGAGGGCACAGGCAGCACCAGGTCCCAGGGTGTTCGGGTGCTGCCCCAGCTTGCAGTTTGGTTTCCTTGGTGCTGACCACAGCTGTGGGGCCCCAGGAATATTGTGCTGCAGGCCTTAGACAGATTTGGGTGTTACTGATTCTCTGTTCAGCGTGGCCTGAACAGTCCACAGATGGCAGTAGACCATGGGGTGTTGAGATGCGAGGAGACTCCGGCATTCTTTCACATTCTGCTTTCGCTCCTGACAGCTTAGGAAAGCTCTCTTTGAAACTTTGGTATGTGTGGACCTAAGATTGAATGTATCTGAAACGTTGCTAATTTCTCACTGTCCTTGCTTCCCAGGACGCCAGGAAAGCATGTGCAGATGCAACTCTCTCTCAGGTAAGAGCCCACTGAGTCACGCAGAGCCATCTGCCTGTGAGGAGGCTGGCACAGCACCCACACCTGGAGCCTCGGGAGGGCTCTGCTTGGATTCTCTCCTGCGCAGTGAGGATGCCAAGCCTCTGTGTGGAGTGCTTTTGTTAAGAAGTCGTACTGATGGTAGGCATAGGAAATGGAGGGGCTTTTTGAGATAAAAAGGAGATATCTCAAGCCTTAAATAATTATTTACCTGTTACAGAGGGTAATAGTTGTAAAATATTGTTATTGTCTTAAAATAAGGTATTTTGAAGCTCCTCTCCTTAACAGAATCTGCCTCAGAACTTTGATTTCTAATATCCAATTTGGTAATACCTCAAAAAGTTAAACATAGAATTATTGTATGACTAAGCAGTTCTACCTGTAAATACATGCCCAACAGAATTGAACACTGGTTTTCAAACAAACACATGCGCGTAGATGTTTGTAGCAGCACCATTCACAATAGCCAAAATGTAGAAACCACCAAAATGTGCGTAAATGAATGAGTGGAGAAACAAATTGTGGTGTGTCTGTTCCTTGGAGTATTATCAGCCATTAAATGGACCTCAGTACAGTCAAAGGCTACAACATGGATAAACCCCTAAATACTATGATATGTGAAAGAAGCCAAATAGAAATGACTGTGTATTGTGTGGTTCTATTTATATGAAATATCTAGAATAGTAAAATTCATTGAATCAGAGTGGCCTAGTGGCCAGCAGGGGAGCTAGGGAAGAGAGGGAGAGGAAGTGAAGAACAGGGAGTGACTGCTAAATCAATGTCGGGTCTCCTTTTGGGATGATGAAGATGTTTTGGAACCAGGTGGTGGCCGTGGTTGCACAACACTGTGAGTGTACTAAATGCCACTGGACTGTATACTTAAAAATGGTTAATTTGATGTTATGTGAACTTTACCTTATTAAAAGAATGAAGTCCATCCCAGCACTTTGGGAGGCTGAGGCAGGTGGATCACTTGAGGTCAGGAGTTCAAGACTAGCCTGACCAACATGGTGAAATCCCATCTCTACTAAAATACAAAAATTAGCCAGGCGTGGTGGCACACACCTGTAATCCCAGCTACTCAGGAGGCTGAGGCAGGAGAATTGCTTGGAACTGGGAGGGAGAGGTTGCAGTGAGCGAAGATTGCACCACTGCACTCCAGCCTGGGAGACAGAGCTAAACTCCATCTCAAAAATGAAAAAAAGGCCGGGCGCGGTGGCTCACGCCTGTAATCCTAGCACTTTGGGAGGCCGAGACGGGCGGATCACGAGGTCAGGAGATCAAGACCATCCTGGCTAACATGGTGAAACTACTGAAAAAAATACAAAAAATTAGCCAGGCATGGTGGTGGGCGCCTGTAGTCCCAGCTGCTCGGGAGGCTGAGGCAGGAGAATGGCGAAGCCATTCCATCTGGGAGGCGGAGCTTGCAGTGAGCCGAGATCGCGCCGCCGCACTCCAACCTGGGCGACAGAGCGAGAGACTGTCTCAAAAAAAAAAAAAAAAAAGATAATAAAAATAAAGTCCAAAGAATTGGACAGAAATGTGAAAGAAAAACTATATTCATACTTCTGAAGATGATTAAGTTTTTTACATTGTCCAGATGTTTTAGGGGATGCACTTTATTGAGGTTAAATTGCAAGTTAAAGAAAAAAAAATTAGGCTACATAGAATTACCTGAATTTCAATTCTGAGAAGCACTTTGGACTGTCCATTTTTTAAAACCCGTTGTTGTGATCCACTTACTCCATTTGCCAGCCTGAGCTCATTAACATCAGTGTCTGTATGTAGGATGGGCTCAGCTGGTGTGTGTACAGCTAGTGCTACAAGTGATGGTCGTGCAGAAGCAGGTGTCATCCTGGCCCACACATAGCCTGACATAGGAACCAGCTATTAAATTGTAGTGTCAGGAAGAAGAGTTGTGAGTTCTCAAATAATTCAGAGACCTAGGAGGAGCTGGTCCTGGATGGACAGGGAGAGGAGGAAGGAGGCAGGAAGAGCACAGCAAGTACTTCAAGGCTGGCCGTGTTCGTGTGCATGCATTGGAGGGCAGGGCACACAGGTTCCTGATGACCAGCCAGACTAAGACTCGGTAAGAGGTGCAGAAGGGGTTCAGTGCAGAATGCCACAGTGGAAGCCACTGGAGAACTCTGGGAAGGCTGGCAAGAGGTAGGCACAGTGGGTGAGCCAACAGCCTTGACAGGGATGGGAGATGAGGAGAGTCATTTAATCACAGATGTTAAAGTTACAGAAATGTTTTTATTTTCAAGATCACAAACAACATCGACCCAGTGGGAAGAATCCAAATGCGCACGAGGAGGACACTGCGAGGGCACCTGGCCAAGATCTACGCCATGCACTGGGGCACAGACTCCAGGTAGGCGTGGGCATGAGCAGGATGCTGCTTGATACGTTCAGGGGCTGCTCTGTTTTCCTAGGGGAAGATAACCTAAACCCATTTGCTGTGTTGTGCAGTGAAAATATTAGGAAGTTGGATCAGAACTCTGGGTGTGCCACATGCAGCACTCACAGATGCATATTCCCTGTCCAGTTTCCACTTACTTGGGCTGAAAGGACACTGCCATTCCTTCACTGTCTGAGTCACATTAATAGAAGTTCTGGGCCGGGCGCGGTGGCTCAAACCTGTAATCCCAGCACTTTGGGAGGCCGAGACGGGCGGATCACGAGGTCAGGAGATCGAGAGACCATCCCAGCTAACACGGTGAAACCCCGTCTCTACTAAAAAATACAAAAAAACTAGCCGGGCGAGGTGGCGGGCGCCTGTAGTCCCAGCTACTCGGGAGGCTGAGGCAGGAGAATGGCGTAAACCCGGGAGGCGGAGCTTGCAGTGAGCTGAGATCCGGCCACTGCACTCCAGCCTGGGTGACAGAGCAAGACTCCGTCTCAAAAAAAAAAAAAAAAAAAAAAAGAAGTTCTGATTTTTCGTTCTCCCTTCTCACATCTCTTTCAGTTTCTAGACCTCTGTCCTCCCAGTTCTACTGTATCCTACTTATGGGAACTTGGGGAAGTTACCTCTCTGTGCCTGTTTCTCAGGGCTGGTTGGCCCTCGCCCTCTTGTGATTTCAGTGCCCTGGCTCAGGAAATCACCGAACCTGCCCCGAGGATCCTGAGAGATTAAGTGTATTGAGCCTTAGAACAGCATCGTGCTGTGTGTGCTTTACTGTAGCAGACACACGGGAATGCACTATGAGCTGTTTTCACCGTTCTCTCACCTGGCCTGTCTGCCCTGCGTTCCTTTGGTTTACCATCCCCAGAGATAATTCCCTTCATGGGCTCCTATTTCTTCTTTTCTTTTCCTTTTTTTTTTTTTTTTTTTTTTTTTTAAGACGGAGTCTTGCTCTGTCGCCCAGGCTGGAGTGCCGTGGCGCGATCTCGGCTCACTGCAAGCTCTGCCTCCCGGTTTACGCCACTCTCCTGCCTCAGCCTCCCGAGTGGCTGGGACTACAGGTGCCTGCCACCACGCCTGGCTAATTTTTTTGTATTTTTAGTAGAGACGGGGTTTCACTGTGTTGGCCAGGATGGTCTTGATCTCCTGACCTTGTGATCCACCCCCTCGGCTTCCCAAAGTGCTGGCATTACAGGCGTGAGCCACCGCGCCAGCCTCTTTTTTTTGTTGTTGGAGACAGGGTCTCACTCTGTCAGTCATACTGGAGTGCAGTGGTGTGATCATATCTCACTGCAGCCTCGACCTCCTAGGCTCCAGCAACCCTTCATACTCAGCCTCCCAAGTGGCTGAGACCATAGGCATGTGCCACCACGCCTGGCTAATATTTTTGGTTTTTTTTTTATAGAGACAGGGTCTCCCTTTGTTGCTGACACTGGTTTCAAACTCCTGGCCCCTAAGTGATCCTTCCACTTCGGCTTCCCAGAGTGCTGAGATTATAGGTGTGAGCCACCACCACTTCCAGCCTATTTTTTGTACTTTATATGCCTTGCTTCTCCACCAGGCATCTCACCTCTGTGACCCCGCACTCTCATTTAGAGGCTATTACAAAGTCTTACTTGCTGCCTGTTCTATCCAAATAATTTAATAAAATACTATTTGATTTGTGTAACTATGACATGGTCGTTCAAGCACCTGACATAACAATTTTTAACACGCCCTTCTTTGAGTAGTATTTCTTTGTATTCCGTTGTTAGTGTGGAATTTTCTGCTTGGCTTTTTCTTTGTTGGTGAAATTGTCCGCTTTAGAGCACAAACAGCTAGAGAACAAAAGATTCTATCTTTAGTTTGTTCTATATAGTATCCCATACAATTCCATATGCAAATGAGAGCTCACATGATAGTTCCAATGATGGCAGGAGTCAGAAAGAATAAAAATGGGAAGGGGGAGGGTGGGGAAGTGGGGAAATGATGTTCGGAGGGTACAGAGTTTTAGTTAGGAATAAATTTTAGAAATCTGCTGCACAGCACGGAGACTGTAGTTCATAATAACATGTGTTTCAAAATTGTTAGTAAAGTAGACTTGAAGTGTTCCCACCACAGAGAAAATGTTCCCACCACAGAGAAAATGGGAAGTGATGGGTATGTTTATTAGCTTGATTTATTTATTTCGCAAGGTGGATATATATGAAAATACCACATTGTATTCTATAAATGTATATCTAATTATTTGTCAAAAATTGTTTTAAATATTCAAAGTAAATAAGTAACCAGGCACATTGGCTCATGCCTCTCATCCCAGCACTTTGGGAGGCCAAGGCAGGTGATGGCTTGAGCCCAGGACTTCAAGACCAGCCTAGGCCACATGGCGAGACCCCTTCTCTACAAAAAGTACAAAAATGAGTTAGCTGTTGTTGTGTGCACCTGGAGTCCCAGCTACTCAGGAGGCTGAGGTGGGAGGATCACTTGAACCCAGGAGGCAGGGAAGCAGAGCTTGCAGTGAGCCGAGATCACCCCACTGTGTTTTAGCCTGCACGACAGAGTGAGACCCTGTCTCTAAATAAATAAGTAAATAAGTATATACTTTGTGAATTCAAAGTTATTCCTTTAAAAAAATTAAAAAGAATTAAAAAAATATGTTCTGGCCGAGTGCAGTGGCTCACCCTTGTAATCCCAGCACTTTGGGAGGCCGAGGTGGGCGGATCACTTGAGGTCAAGAGTTCGAGACCAGCCTGCTGGCCAACATGGCACAACCCTGTCTACTAAAAATTTAAAAATTAGCTGGGCATACTTGCTGTAGTCCCAGCTACTTGGAAGGCTGAGATACACAGAAGTTACGGTGAGCCGAAATTGCGCCACTGGGTGACAGAGTGACATCTGACTCAAAAAAAAAAAAGAAAAATGTTGTTACTAGTCTATCTATGTTAGAACTTATTGTCAAAAGTAGTTGCGAAACAAAACAATATGCTACCTCTGGGGCCTTTCCTCCATGTGTGGGAACACTGGTGTCCAGATCAGGCAGGTTAGTGGAGTGGACAGTGCTGTTGCTGGGCAGTGTTCGGGTACTCAGAGCACTGCACCACCAAGTAATGTGTCTCCTTCACCAGCTGGGCTCTGGACTGGGTAGTCTGGAAGGGATGAGAGTGACCTGCAGGCAGGTTGTTCAGGAACCTAAGAGATGGGTGTGTGACCTGAGCAGTGGAGGTGGGGCTCGGGCTCAGGGTGGGTGGGGTGGGCGCCAGATCACTGGATGGGAGACTTTATGATCCGTCTGTCTCAAACACACTTTGTGTCTTGAAAGCCCCAGGATTAGAAGGAAGAAAAGCAAGGGCTGACAAAGCAGGACCAAGTTCAGAGTCATGGCCACCCTGTGAGCAAGGTGGTGTTCAGTGGGGCCTGTGGGAGGCTGGGGTGCCACATTGGTCCTTGTTCTTGGACAGGGTGCTAGGTGCATGGCATTTGTTGTAGAATTGCACAATCATGAGAAAACCAAAATAATATTATGGAGAACCTCTGCTTTCCAGAGCCTTCTAGAGAGTGCTTGTTCTAAATAGTCATTTGTTTCTGGATAGGCTAGTGTTTGCCTCTTTAAGGTCCAAAAGAGTTTTTTTGGGGGGAGGGAGGGAGGGTGTGTGTGTGTGTGTGTGTGTGTGTGTGTGTGTGTGTGTGTGTGTGTGTGTGGTGTCTCTATCGGGGGGAGGGTGTGTGTGTGTGTGTGTGTGTGTGTGTGTGTGTGTGTCTCTCTATCCTTGTTCCATAAGCTCTCTTTTTTTTTGTGCACAACGTGCAGGTTTATTACGTAGGTATCCCTGTGCCATGTTGGTTTGCTGCACCCATTAACTCGTCATTTACATTAGATATTTCTCCTAATGCTATCCCTCCCCCTGCTGCCCACCCCATGACAGAGGGTGGAGGGTATATATTTTCTTTAATCTTCGTATTTCCTGCCTTCATAAACAAATGTTACCGTTTAAGACTTTTTTCATGACTTAAAGCTGTAATTTATGAATACCAGTTCTTTTTTGTTGTTGTTGTTGAGACAGAGTCTCACTTTGTCACCCAGGCTGGAGTGCAGTGGTGTGATCTTGGCTCACTGCAAGCTCAGCCTCCTGAATAGCTGGAACTACAGGCGCCTGCTGCCACGCCCGGCTAATTTTTTTGTATTTTTAGTAGAGACGGGGTTTCACCATGTTAGCCAGGATGGTCTCAATTTCCTGACCTCGTGATTTGCCTGCCTCGGCCTCCCAAAGTGCTGGGATTACAGGCGTGAGCTACCGTGTCCAGCCTATGAATACCAGTTCTTTCACTGTGTTTGTTTGATTTATGGACACTATGAAACAGTAGAAACGACTACTAATTTGTCTTTCTTTCTTTCTTTTTTTTTTTTGAGATGAAGTCTTGTTGCCCAGACTGGAGTGCAGTGGCAGCTCACTGCAAGCTGGACTTACTGCAAGCTCTGCCTCCTGGGTTCATGCCATTCTCCTGCCTCAGCCTCCCGAGTAGCTGGGACTACAGGCTCCCCCCACCATGCCCAGCTAATTTTTTTTGTTGTATTTTTAGTAGAGACGGGGTTTCATTGTTAGCCAGGATGGTCTCGATCTCCTGACTTCGTGATCTGCCTGCCTCGGCCTCCCAAAGTGCTGGGGTTACAGGTGTGAGCCACCGTGCCTGGCCTAGTTTGTCTTTCAAAACTACATGAGGCTAGACACGGTGGCTCACACCTGTAATCCCAGCACTTTGGGAGGCCAAGTCAGGTGGATCCCTTGAGTTCAGAAGTTTGAGACCAGCCTGGCCAACATGGTATAACCCCATCTCTTCTGAAAATACAAAAATTAGCCAGGTGTGGTGGCGAACGCCTGTAGTTTCAGCTACTCAAGAGGCTGAGGTGGGAGAATCGCTTGAACCCAGGAGGTGGAGGTTGCAGTGAACCAAGATTGCACCATTGCACTCCAGCCTGGGCAACAGAGTGAGACTCTGTCTCAAAATATATAGATATAGATATATATACACACACACGCGTGCGTGCACACATTGCACTCCCGCCTGGGTGACGGATCGAGACTCTGTCTCAAAAAGCAAAACAGAACACAAAGCTACATGAAAGGCCAGGCACCGTGGTTCACGCCTGTAATCCCAGCACTTTGGGAGACTAAGGCGAGTGGATCACCTGAGGTCAGGAGTTTGAGACCAGCCTGGCCAACGTGGTAAAACCCCATCTCTACCAAAAGTACAAAAGTTAACCGGGTTGGTGGTGGGCACCTGTAATCCCAACTACTCAGGAGGCTGAGGCAGGAGAATCGCTTGAATCCAGGAGGCAGAGGTTGCAGTGAGCCAAGATTGCACCACTGCACTCCAGCCTGGGTGACAGAGTGAGGCTCTGTCTCAAAAAAAAAAAAAACATACAAAAAAAACTACATGCGAGGTGAGGCCCACAGTGACTACTTGTTATGTATGTATGTATTAACGTATCAGATGTACATTTGTAATATGTTTATCAATATATTTATTTGTACTAAAAGGTGCCTTTTTTTTTTTTTTTTTTTTGAGACTGGGTCTCACTCTGTTGTCCATGCTAGAATGCAGTGGTGCGATCCTAGCTCACTGCAGTCTTGAACTCTGGTGCTCAAGCAATCCTGCCTCAGCCTCCTGAGTAGCTGGTACCACAGGTGCACATTACCGTGCCCAGCTGATTTTTTTAAAATATTTTTTGTAGAGACCGGGTCTCCCTATGTTGCCCATGTTGGTCTCAAACTCCTAGACTTTACTGATCGCTTATCTCAGCTTCCCAAAGTGCTGGGGTTACAGACATGAGCCACCACCCTCCCTCCTTTGAGTAAAATGAAGGGCGTTAGGTGTTTTGATTTTTGACAGCTACTTTCAGGGTCCTGGAGCCATTTAGCTTGCTTCCTGGCTCTCGCCTCTATGTTCTAGGTGAGTGGCACCTCAGATAATTGATTGTTGAGTAGGTAAAGGCACTGGCAGGCAACGTGAACCCAGCTCTCCAACAGCTCTCTAATCCGGGACTAGGAGGCATGTCTTCTCTCACCTTCTGGAGGATCAGTCGACAGCTTACATGTCCTTAATCCCTCTGGAAGTCAGCAGTTATTAAGCTCTCTGACCGGGAGACCTCTGTAAAGGTGATCCTCCTAATCTAGGAGGATGAGCTGCTTTAGATCAGCTCTGATACTCAACAGAAAGTCTCAGAAGGGCTGGGCAGAAATAAAGCTAGAGAGGGAACCTTATACCATTACATAGAAATAATTTTCAGTGTTTTAATATGTTGATGACAACCTGGATTGAGAAGTTTGCTTTAAGAATTGCATCTGAGGCCGGGCGCGGTGGCTCAAGCCTGTAATCCCAGCACTTTGGGAGGCCGAGACGGGCGGATCACGAGTTCAGGAGATCGAGACCATCCTGGCTAACACGGTGAAACCCCGTCTCTACTAAAATACAAAAAAAAATTAGCCGGGCGAGGTGGCGGACGCCTGTACTCCCAGCTACTCGGGAGGCTGAGGCAGGAGAATGGCGTGAACCCGGGAGGCGGGGCTTGCAGTGAGCTGAGATCTGGCCATTGCACTCCAGCCTGGGCAACAGAGCTAGACTCCGTCTCAAAAAAAAAAAAAAAAAAAAGAATTGCATCTGAAGGCTGGGTGCAGTGGCTCACGCCTGTAATCCTGGCTGAGGTGGGCAGATTGCCTGAGCTCAGGAGTTCAAGACTAGCATGGCAAAACCCTGTCTCTACTAAAAATACAAAAAGTTAGCCAGGCATGGTGGTGCACATCTGTAATTCCAGCTACTGGGAAGGCTGACGCACGAGAATTGCTTCAACCTGGGAGGCAGAGGTTGGAGTGAGCTGAGATTGTGCCATGTTGCTCCAGCCTGAGTGACAGAGTGAGACTCTTGTCTCAAAATAATAATAATAATAATAATAATAATAATTGCATCTGAAAAATAATAGGATGGGAGCCTACACTTAGTTTTTAGTTCTGTGATAAATTTTGTAATAAATTGCAGGTGAAAAGGCTTTTATTTGTTAAACTCATTGACACCTTTGTAAAGTTAGTACTTAGTGTATCAAAACATCTAGTTTGATATTAAAAGTCTCAGTTATCAACAAAACTTGAGAGAGCGTTACTCCAGCTTTGGGTCAGCTTTAAGAAGTCACATATGTTCACAGCTGAAATAGTTAAAACCTGCGTTTTGAGGCACCGTGGCTTACGCCTGTAATCCCAACATTTTGGGAGGCCAAGGCAGGCGGATCACTTGAGGCCAGGAGTTGGAGACCAGCGTGGCTAACATGGGGAAAGCCCATCTCTACTGAAAATACAAAAATTGGCCAGGCGTGGTGGCACGTGCCTGTAATCCCAGCTACTTGGGAGACTGAGGCATGAGAATCGCTTGAACCCAGGAGATAGAGTTTGCAGTGAGCCGAGATCACGCCAGTGCACTCCAGCCTGAGTGACAGAGGGAGACTCTGTCTCAAAAAAACAAAAACAAAACCCTCGTTTGATAAAATCCTTAAAAGTAAAAATCCTTATACCATCATTTACCGTACTGACAGATATCTCTGCATCAAACAGTAGAACCTTCTTGCTCTTCATTGAAAACAGCATCCTATGCTACAGAGTTCCTTAGGACCTCTCATGAGCAACTGTGGTTCCCAGGAGTTACTTTCATCCACATTACTCGCCTGCTAAGGTGAAATTCTTTTGCTCGTTATTCATATTTTCCTTTGTAGTATGGAGCTCCTTTTCAACACGTGGATTCCAAACTGAGCACCGTTGCCAGAACAAGGAAATAATTATGAAAAAATACATGGTTGGGCGCAGTGGCTCAACACTTGTAATACCAGCACTTTGGAGGCTGAGGTGGGCGGGTCACCTGAGGTCAGGAGTTAGAGACCAGCCTGACCAACATGGAGAATCCCCGTCTCTACTAAAAATACAAAATTAGCTGGCCATGGTGGCACATGCCTGTAATCCCAGCTACTTTGGAGACTGAGGCAGGAGAATTGCTTGAACCCAGGAAGTGGAGGTTGTGGTTAGCCGACGCGCCATTGCACTCCAGCCTGGGCAACAAGAGCACAACTTCGTCTCAAAAACAAAAACAGGCCGGGCGCGGTGGCTCAAGCCTGTAATCCCAGCACTTTGGGAGGCCGAGACGGGCGGATCACGAGGTCAGGAGATCGAGAACATCCTGGTTAACACGGTGAAACCCCGTCTCTACTAAAAAAAATACAAAAAACTATCCGGGCCAGGTGGCGGGCGCCTGTAGTCCCAGCTACTCAGGAGGCTGAGGCAGGAGAATGGCGTGAACCCGGGAGGCGGAGCTTGCAGTGAGCCCAGATCACGCTACTGCACTCCAGCCCGGGCGACAGAGCGAGAAGCCGTCTCAAAAACAACAAAAACAAAAACAAAAAAGGCCAGGCGTGGTGGCTCATGCCTATAATCCCAGCACTTTGGAAAGCCGAGGTGAGCAGATCATGAGGTCAGGAGATCAATACCATCCTGGCTAACATGGTGAGACCCCGTCTCTACTAAAAATACAAAAAAATTTAGCTGTGCAAGGTGGTGGGCACCTGTAGTCCCAGCTACTCGGAAGGCTGAGGCAGGAGAATGGTGGAAACCCGTGAGGCAGAGCTTGCAGTGAGCTGAGATGGTGCCACTGCACTCCAGCCTGGGCAACAGAGCAAGACTCCATCTCAAAAAAAAAAAGAAAAAATTTGTGGTAGTTACTGGTCTCTGCTGCCGGACCAGGCGCAGTGGTGCTGTTGTTTACCAAGCAGGTGAGGAGGGAGTGCCTCCTTTGGTTTCTAGGAGACCTTGATTCCAATTTTAGCTCAGTCTGGGAAATTTCATGGGGTATTTTGGTGAGAAATGTTTCATGAATTTGGAATGTCTTAAATGTGGTTTGTTTTTTCGTTTATTTGTTTTGTTTTTGTTTTTGTTTTTTCCAGTCAGGGTCTCGCTCTGTTGCCCAGGCTAGTGTGCAGTGGTGCAATCTTGGCTTACTGCAACCTCCGCCTCCTGGGTTCAAGCAGTCTGCCACCTCACCCTCCTGAGTAGCTGGGATTACAGGCATGCACTACCATACCAAGCTATGTTTTTGTATTTTTGTAGTGGAGATGGGATTTTACCATGCTAGCCATGTTGGTCTCAAACTCCTGTGATCCGCCTACCTTGGCCTCCCAGTGTTGGGATTAAAGACATGAGCCTCTAATTTGATTTGTAATGAAACTAAACAGAAGCAGTTATGAAATGATGTCAGCCTGTCTCAGCTGACAAAGGGAATGGGTGCCAGGGGTGATGTGGCCTGCATTCAGTTGGGGGCCGTGCACTCTCCACTCTCAACTGTGGTCTGTAACAGTGTTTTTGTTCATGCTTTTAAAGTTGGTCTGACATTTAGAGCCTTCCTTTCCTTCCTCCTCTCCTCTCCTCTTCCTCTTCGTCCCTTCTTCCCGTCTTTCTTTCTGTCTTGTCTTTCTGTCTGTCTGTCTGTCTTTTTTGAAACAGAGCCTTGCTCTGTTGCCCAGGCTGGAGTCCAGTGGCATGATTTTGTCTCATTGTAACCTCCGCCTCCTAGGTTCCAGCAATTCTTCTGCCTCAGCTTCCCGAGTAGCTGGGATTACAGGCGCGCACTACCATACCCAGCTAATTTTTGTATTTTTAGTAGAGACAGGGTTTTGCCATGTTGGCGAGGCTGGTCTTGAACTCCTGACTTCACGTGATCTGCCTGTCTCGGCCTTCCAAAGTGTTGGGATTACAGGCGTGAGCCACTGTGCCCGACCAGAGATTTTTTTTCTTATAATAAGTGGCTTTGTCTGAAGCACATGTAACATAGAAGCACTTAAGTCACCAGAGTCTGGGTTTTAGTCTGTTGCCCTTGTACACTTTCTGTGTTATGTGGTACTGATAGGTTTGCTTTTGTCTGTCCCTCCAGGCTTCTCGTCAGTGCCTCGCAGGATGGTAAACTTATCATCTGGGACAGCTACACCACCAACAAGGTAGGGACTGGAAAATTCCCTTCCTTGGAAAACCCACCTAGGAAACAGTATTTTAAGCTCTGGAGTCTTTTTTGTTAAATCACATAATACAAGATAGGGAAGGCAGTAACGGCAAGCTCTGTTTGTTAGTAGTGAGGTTGTGCAGGTGAGACACAAGCTGAGTCACATGCCAGCACCTGTGACAGTCTCTTCCTCTGAACCAGGTGCTGTTGTGCTATTTTCCGTTATCTCCTTACCAAGCTGATGGGAGCTAAGGACCTTCTGTGTTTCCAGGAGACCTCAATTCCAGTTTTAGCAGAGTCTGGGAAGTTTCATGTTTTATTTATAGAGTGCAGAAGTATCACTTTTCATTTAATTATTAGTTTTTTAGGAGAGATCATCATACTTTAAAGTGTAATGTATGTTATTTTCAAGACTTAATCCAAATTGTACTGTTTTGAATAAAAAGTATTGTTGGCTGGGCATGGTGGCTTATGCCTGTAATCCCAGCACTTTGGGAGGCTCTGGCAGGCAGATCACAAGGTCAGTAGATCGAGACCATCCCGGCTAACAAAGTGAAACCCTGTCTTTACCAAAAGTACAACAAATTAGCTGGGCGCGGTGGCGGGTGCCTGTAGTCCCAGCTACTCGGGAGGCTGAGGCAGGAGAATGGCATGAACCTGGGAGGCGGAGCTTGCAGTGAGCTGAGATGCTGCCATTGCACTCCTCCAGCCTGGGCGACAGAGCGAGACTCCGTCTCAAAAAAAAAAAAAGTATTGTCATTGGTCCCAACATATACGTAAAAGATGTTATTCAGTTTACTAAAGAATACTAAATGTGTATAAATGGTTACATTCATTACAGCAGATATAACACACTGGGAGAGATGTGGCAGGATAGATTATAGTAATGTCCATTTCGGTTATTCCATAAAAATATTTTGTTTTCGGCCGGGTGCGGTGGCTCACACCTGTAATTCCAGCACTTGGGAGGCTGAAGCAGGTGGATCACCTGAGGTCAGTAGTTTGAGACTAGCCTAGCCAACATGGTGAAACCTCATTCTCTACTAAAAATACAAAAAATTAGCCAGGTGTGGTGGCAGGCGCCTGTAATCCCAGCTACTCAGGGGGCTGAAGCAGGAGAATCACTTGAACCCGGGAGGCAGAAGTTGCAAGTGAGCCTAGATTGCGCCACTGCACTCAAACCTGGGCAACAAGAGCGAAACTCCATCTCAAAAGAAAAAAAAAAAGTTTTGTTTTCAAATAAGTTCATAGCCATTTGACAGGGTAATGCAGTGTTTTCCTTCTAATATATATGGGTTTTTTTGGGGTTTTTTTTGTTTGTTTGTTTGTTTGAGACAGAGTGTTGCTCTTATCGCCCTGGCTGGAGTGCAGTGGCGTGATCTCTGCTCACTGCAGCCTCCACCTCCCTGGTTCAAGCAACTCTCCTGCTTCAGCCTCCTTGAGTAGCTGGGATTACAAGCGCCCACCACCATACCCAGCTAATTTTTGTATTTTAGCACAGATGGGGTTTCACCAATTTGAGGCCAGGCTGGTCTCAAATTCCTGACCTCAGGTGATCCACCCGCCTCAGCCTCCCAGAGTGCTAGGATTACAGGTGTGAGTCACTGCGCCCGGCCTGTTTGTTTTCTTGTGAGACGGAGTCTCGCTCTGTTGCCCAGGCTGGAGTGCAGTGACATGATCTCAGCTCACTGCAACCTCTGCCTCCCAGGTTCAAGTGATTCTCCTGCCTCAGCCACCCGAATAGCTGGGACTACAGGCAGGCGCCATCATGCCCGGCTAATTTTGATATATTTAGTAGAGACGGAGTTTCATCATGTTGGCTAGGCTGGTTTTGAACTCCTGACTTCAGGTGATCTGCCCAATTTAGCCTCCCAAAGTGCTGGGATTACTGGTGTGAATGACCGCACCCCACCTAATAAAGTAGTTTTGATGAGTAGGCAGCACTACTATTAAGTCCCCACCTAATCATAAGTCGTGACTTTAGTAAAACTGGATTGTGTGGATTGAATTTGAATCCCATGTGCAGCACTGGACTTCTCATTAATAGGCTTCACCTGAGTGGCCACTCATGGGAATTACTCTCTAGATAATTTTGGCTCTTATTTTGTTCTGTTACCTCCTATGCAATGAAAGTTGGAGATGAGATAATCCTAGCGTCAGTGTTGTTTTTGAACATAAAGGTGTTTGCATCATCTGTGTTTCTGTCATTAGGTCCACGCCATCCCTCTGCGCTCCTCCTGGGTCATGACCTGTGCATACGCCCCTTCTGGGAACTATGTGGCCTGCGGTGGCCTGGATAACATTTGCTCCATTTACAATCTGAAAACTCGTGAGGGGAACGTGCGCGTGAGTCGTGAGCTGGCAGGACACACAGGTACCATCCTTGTTCATAACCTTCAAGTGACACAAGCTGTTTAGCTGGAGTACATTATATGCTTTGGATATGCACCTTTTATCAGTCATTTATTAATTATTATTATTATTTTTTTTCTTTGAGGTGGAGTCTTGCTCTTTCGCCCAGGCTAGAGTGTATTGGCATGATCTTGGCTTAGTGCAAGCTCTGCCTCCCGGGTTAACGCCATTCTCCTGCCTCAGCCTCCTGAGTAGCTGGGACTACAGGCACCTGCCACCACGCCCGTCTAATTTCTTTTTGCATTTTTAGTAGAGATGGGGTTTCACCGTGTTAGCCAGGCTGGTTTTGAACTCCTGACCTCATGATCCGCCTGCCTTAGCCTTCCAAAGTGCTGGGATTATAGGCGTCAGCCACTGCGCCCGGCGTTATCAATCATTATTAATGAGACTGGTTCAAATAAAAGTCACAGTAATGGCCAGAAGTCTTCTGAAAATGAAACTAAAAACAGGCCTGACGTGCCTTTACCAGTAAGGAACCTGTGGATTTGCGCTGGACATGGTGGCTCATGCCTGTAATTACAGCATTCTGGGAGTCCAAGGTAGGAGAATAGCTTGGAGCCAGGAGTTCGAGACCAGCTGGGACAACAAAACTTAGACCCCTTCTCTACAAAAAAGGAAAAACTTAGCCACGCACAGTGGCGCACACCTGTGGTCCCAGCTCCTCGGGAGGATGGCTCAAGCCTGGGTGGTTGAGGCTGCAGGGAGCTATGATTGCACTACTGCACTCCAGGCTGGGTGAAAGTGAGACCCTGTCTCTGCAAATGAGGCAGAATAGAGCCCTGTGGCTGTAAGTGCTAGGTATTATCTCACCAAGATTTTGTTTACTTGTGACACTAATTCATCATGAAAGGCATACGTTTGCTGAAAGAGGATGTCCTATTCTAATATATTTTACCTCTCTGGCTGTATTATCTGTTCTCAGAAATGTTATGGCCCCAGTACTTTTTGGTAACACTCCGCCCACTTCACATGCAGCCAAAGAAATCAGTTCATGGAGTCACTAGTACTGCTTTTGACGCCTATTAAGCAGTCTGATAAATAAGTTAATTTTGGCCAGATTACAAGTATAACCTTGTCCTTTGAAAGATATGCTGCTATTGTTGATTTCTGTTCTTGGTTCTTTCCTGCCTTCTGCTTACTTTGGAGTTGCCTTCTTCTTAATTTTCCAGCTGCCTAAAGTAGATTTGTAGGCCACTGGTTTGCTTCCTTTTCAGATACAATCACTTAAATTTTTAAATTTCCCTCTAAGCATGGCTTTAGCTGCATCACACACATATTTTTAATATTGTCTTTTTTTTTTTTTTTAAGATGGAGTCCTCCTCTGTCACCCAGGCTGGAGTGCAGTGGTGTGATCTCAGCTCACTGAAACCTCCACCCCCTGGGTTCAAGCGATTCTCCTGCCTCAGCCTCCCGAGTAGATTACAGATGTGCACCACAACGCCTGGCCAATTTTTGTATTTTTAGTAGAGACAGGATTTTGCCATGTTGGTCAGGCTGGTCTCGAACTCCTGACCTCAAGTGATCCACCCGCCTTGGCCTCCCAAAGTGCTGAGATTGCAGGCTTGAGCCACCACTGCCAGCCTATATTGTCTTTTAATTATCATTCGATGTGAAATTTTTTAATATCCTTGTGAGTGCTTATTTGACTTATGGGTTATTTAGATGTATAATTTTTATATATCTGAAGTTTTCTTAGTTATCATTGATTTCTAATTAGATGCCATTGTGCTTTAAGACACACACTGTATCATTTCAGTCCTTTGACATTTGAGGCTTTTTTTTTTTTTTTTCTGGAGACGGAGTCTCGCTCTGTCGCCCAGGCTGGAGTGCAGTGGCCGGATCTCGGCTCACTGCAAGCTCCGTCTCCCGGGTTCACGCCATTCTCCTGCCTCAGCCTCCCGAGTAGCTGGGACTACAGGCGCCCACCACCGCATCCGGCTAATTTTTTGTATTTTTAGTAGAGACGGGGTTTCACCGTGTTAGCCAGGATGGTCTCAATCTCCTGACCTCGTGATCCGCCCGCCTCGGTCTCCCAAAGTGCTGGGATTACAGGCATGAGCCACCGCGCCCAGCCCTGGGCCTGATTTTCTACATACATGTTAATTAGAGCAAGATTTTTGGCATGTTCAAATCTTCTGTATCTTTCTATGAAATGTTCATGCAGGGCTGTTAAAATGATTATGGATTTTCTAATTCTCCTGTTAATTATGTCAATATATGCTTCAGATACCTTGAACTCTTTTAGTAGATGCCTTTACGTTTGTCGTCTCTTTGTGACTAATTGACCCTGTGACCCTGCTATCATGATGAACTGTTCTTTCTCGCTCATAATGCTCTTTGTTGGGAACCGCTACTTTTTCTGATACTAATGTAGCCAGCCCTGCCTTCGTGAGGGTCCTTTCAGCTTAACTGTGTCTTTGAAAGTAGTCGGTTATAGACTTCACATAATTGTTGGGTCTTGGTTTTTTCTGCCTGCCTTTGGAATATGCTTTTGCACATTTGTATTTCCTATTGTAGCTCTGCTACTTTGTCACCTTTTTGTCCCTTCATTTTTGTATTTTGGTTGTTCCTTTCCTACCTTCCTTTGAGTTATTTGATTACAGGCGTGAGCCACCACACCTGGCCTGGGTTACTTGATTTTTTAAAAAAATCTATTTTACTTTGTGGGCTTTGTAGGTAAACCATTTTGCCTGATGTCTTAGTGGTGTCTTTAGGGATTATAGTGTACATTCGCAGTGTCTCGCGGTCCTCTAGTTACCGTGGTACTAGTTGATAGGAAATGTAAGGAGCTCGCAGCCACATACAGGCCTCCTGTCTGCCCTTCCTCACTCTTGGTGTGATTTTCATATGCATCACACCTGTGTGTGTTACTAGCCCCTTGATGCATTGTTGTATTCTTTACTTGAAACATTCTTAAGAAATTAGGGGTCTTATAATGTGAATAAATATGAAAAGTAGGCCGAGCGCGGTGTCTCAAGCCTGTAATCCCAGCACTTTGGGAGGCCGAGGAGATGGGCAGATCACGAGGTCAGGAGATCGAGACCATCCTGGCTAACACGGTGAAACCCCGTCTCTACTAAAAAAATACAAAAAACTAGTTGGGTGAGGTGGCGGGCGCCTGTAGTCCCAGCTACTCAGGAGGCTGAGGCAGGAGAATGATGTGAGGCGGAGCTTGCAGTGAGCTGAGATCCGGCCACTGCACTCCAGCCTGGGCGACAGAGCGAGACTCCGTCTCAAAAAAAAAAAAAAAATATGAAAAGCATGAAGTAGGCCGGGCACGGTGGCTCACGCCTGTAATCCCAACAGTTTGCGAGGCCGAGGCAGGCAGATCACCTGAGGCCAGGAGTTTGAGATTCACCTGGCCAACATGGCAAAACCCTGTGTCTACTAAAAATACAAAAAGTAGCCGAGCATGGTGGCACGCACTTGTAGTCCCAGCTGCTCGGTAGGCTGAAGCAGGAGAATCGCTTGAACCTGGGAGGCGGAGGTTGCAGTGAGCTGAGATCACACCACTGTACTCCAGCCTGGGTGACAGAGTGAGACTCCGTCTCAGAGAGAAAAGAATGAAATAAATCTACTCTGCCCTCCGGAGAGAGCTTCCGTGTCCAGTGCCCTTCCCGCTCTCCTGCAGAGGCGCCTTCTGCGGGCGTCCTGTCGGCCGAAAGCCCTACCCAGAACAAGTCATGGTTAGTGCAGGTCTCGGGTCTGCTGCTGGCAAAAGCACTTAGTGTTCATTTCCCTAAGAGTTCTATTTTGCCTTTATTCTTGAAGGGTATTTTTGCTAGATATCTAGAATTATGGGTTGACTCTTTTTTTCATTTATTTTTCTTTTTTTAGCAATCTAAAGATTTGTTTTGGGTTTTAGCAGTTTGCATGTAGGTGCCTCGATGTGATTTTCTTTGCATTTATTGTGCTTTGGCATCTTGAATCTGTAAGTTTGTCTTTCACCAAATTTGGGAAGTTTTAGACCATGTCTTCAAAGCATCCTCTGTCCTTAGTCCCTGCCCCTCTGTGCTGCAGTAACACATGCGTCTGTGCTGTCCCCGAGGCTCTGGGGGCTGCGGCTTGTTCTCACTTTCCCACTTCAGATGTGCTCCTTTTTGTTGTTGTTAGCGCCACTCACTTGCTTAAACCTTTTTACTTCCATTCAAGTTCATGTCCTTGTTACCTCTGATAAACTAAGGCTCTCCAGCAGATTCTTTATGTCAGATATTTCTTCTGCAGTTCTGGAATTTCTGTTGCTTTTATTTAGAAATGTTTCCTTTTCCTGCTGAGATTCCCTGTCTTGTATAATAGCATGTTTTATTTTGCATCCACAAGGAGAGTTTAAGAGCTGCCTTTCGAGTTCTTGTCTGCTGATCTCAGCATCTCGTTTTCCTGACGTTGGTCCTTGTGGATCTCTCCTCTGGAGTCTGAGTGACATGTTGCTATTTTTTAGTGCATGTAGTAATTTCAAATTGTATTCTAGACATTGTAAATATTGTGTCATAGAGACTTTGTGTCCGGTTACGTTCTCCAGAACTAACTGATGTTTGGTTTCGTTTTATCAGGCAGTCTGTCTCTGTCTGTCTCGTGTGGCTGCAGCAGAAACCTCTGTTCAGCTTTTCTGTGCTGGCTGGCTGCATGCCTGTGCACCTCAGGGGTCGGATGTCTGTTCAGCCGTGTGTGTAGTCTGGGACTCCCTTTCTGTGGCTTTCTTCTTTGTATTGTTATCCTTTCGCCTTCTGGCTGTGGTTGTCCAGTAATTTGTCTACTGGCTCTTGAAGACCTTGGCCACAGGTCTTGTGTGTGAGGCTGTAGCCCTGGGGTTATCACAGACAGTCCCCTCCTCAGGGAAAGCTCCTTAAGAACAAACCATGCCCTGCCTTTCTTTTCTCCCAGGGGAGACTCCTCCAGTTTCTACCTGCTCTTGTTTGCCTGCTTTCAGGTGTTTGGTTTTTGTATTTCATGCAGTGCTTATAG